AAAGTGTGCAGAATTCAAAACTGCCTCATTACAAAATCATACTGTGAAATTCTACAATGTTATATGAACTGTCTGGAATTTTCCCTGTATGCCCACAAATTCATTCAGCTAACTAAAATTTTATAAATCTATCCTCTTCTCTTTTCCTGTTTATTTAAATAATTGTTGAATGCTCAATTTACTACACTTTCTGAATTTTTTTAACCCTCACCTCTAGAAAGGAGAGTGTGGCCTGAAATGATCTGAATTTACTTCAACCTGTATACTTCTTTTCAACATATAGATAAGTTATTCTGGTTATTTATTTTGGTGGGTATTCTTACAGCAATTTTTTCATATATACTTTTAAAATTAGGTGAAAAAATATAGGCAGAGGTAATTTCCACTCAAGTATGCAAATAAGTGGGAAACATATGGCTCATATGACTATTTTTGCTAAATCATCTACAAGCTTATAGGTCTAGGATATCTGAAAACTTCAATTTGTGGCTCATGAAACACAAAAACTCTGATGAAAATGGTATATAAATGGTATATTCAGTTTTATATGGCCCAATCTATTGTCATATTTAATTGCCATGTCTTTTGCCATGATTAAATCAGCTACCTGTGCTGAATGGATGTATATCTTCCAATGTCAGCCAAGACACATACGTGAGTAAATTGTCACCCTATTATTGTTCTCACTTGAGTTAAAATATGGCCTCATAGTTCATTCACTTATTACTAGAGACCTGTACACATTCACTTATTACTAGAGACCTGTACACATTACTAGAGACTTTAATTTTACTTAAGTACCCTAAGGAAATATGTGTCCTAAGGGACACATATTTCTTTATGTTGAAAACATAAAGGATGTTAAAACTTGTAGAGCTAAATGGTCAAAAAAATTAATGATTGACATAAATTACTTCAAATAGCCAGAACAAACTATAAGCAATCAGAATCTAAAGAATTTTATATATATCTGATCCCTGAGAACCACTTGAAACTCCTTGTTGGCAGGCTTCCTCCTTTGATACCCGAGGTATATTGAATTCTGTCAGTGGATCCTTAGGAAGAACAAGGCAGGCTTACAAATACCCGGCTTGTCTGACTTTTAAGTTAGATTTTTTTAATTGAAATTTATCTTTGTTTTGTGAACACAACTTTAGTATTGCCACAATAATGTAATTATTGACTCATTTTATTAAACCAAATCTCTCTCTCTCTTTGGTGCATTTAGAAATTTGAACAACCTGGTGAGCTGTGAAGGCTGTAAATAAAATTAGTTCTGATGGCCACAGTGGGCTATATTAGGATACTATCATTAATCACCATGATGTGTACATGGCTAAACAACATGCCTTACATATTTTAAGTAGTGTGATTAAATAAAAGGAAATTATTATAAATGATATGTCTAATATCACACTACTTATCATCAACTGCAAAGACTGATACGGAAAAGTGTAAAGACAGAGTAATTGAATATGCATTAATTCTGAATTCCCTTAGGTGTCACATATTATATTTCCATCGGTCTTTTCTATGACACCAGAGGATTATTAATGGTGCAATTTTTTTGTATCAAATTCCATATATATTACATCAGAATTAACCAAACTGGATGCTGAATCATTAATTTTATACACAGCACACTGCAGCAGCATGAATCAGGCTTTCTCCATTTTAATAGACTGCATATTTAAAAATATGAGATACAATCAGGTGTATTATAAAGTTTACTGAGTTTATTAAGACTTAAATTTTCAAAGTAACTTATTGATATAGCCTAGAAACTTACTAAATATTTTTCCTTATCATTGGAAAAATTAAGGTAATAGATGATAAGAAAATTTAGGAAAGTTAATAAGTATTCATATTTACTGAAATTCTTCTGTATTAATATTTATCATAATGAGAATATATAACCATTATAGACACTTTAATTACAACAAAAGTTTATAACATGTTTACAAAATATAGCTTATTAGATCAACTGAAGTTAAAGTGATTATTGTAATAATGGCTAAAAATTATTTTGTTGAAGAATTCTTATAATAAGAGATTTGAAAGAAAGTTTGTGAGGGTGCAATGAGGAGAGAATTTTTTGAAGCAGAATGTTGATAGGTTCTAGAATTGGCTGAAGAAAGCATCTAATGATTGTTTCCAAAGGATATTTCACTACTGAAAAGTATATGCAGACAAGCCGATAAGATGTACACTACACTTTCATGATCCCCAATATGAAAATACAAGCTTATCCCATCAAGAGAAGACCAATATAGAGAACATGATAGGAAAAAAAAGTACTTTTTTTTGTTTTTTTTTTCAAATTTTTCTTCTTTTTTCTGATCTGTAAACAAAATTGTCAGAGCAGTTCCTTAAATAGTTCCTCATGATTCAAAACATGCTAGAGTGCAGTTTAAACATGCACATTAATTTGGGGCTATATTTTATCTAGTTCAATACAGATTATTTTTATGGAATTATGCACATTAGATTTAGAGTGGCATTTACAATTAATCTGATTATTCATTTAAAAATGAAGTAATTTCAAATGAGAGTAGTGTATATCTCTCTTAGAGTTATAAAACAGGTTTGCAATTAATTTAGAGTATTTAGCAAACCCATTCATATATTTTTTAAATTTTTTTATTAGTTGCTCAAAACATTACAATGATCTTGACATATCATACATTTGATTCAAATGGGGTACGTAATCTTAATCTTATTTTTCCATGTGTACAGATTGCAGGATCACATTGGTTATACAGACACATTTATACATAGGGCCATACTAGTTGGGCCATACATATTTTTCATAATAATGAGGGTCTCCTACCATCTTCCATGCAATTCCCCTTCTCTCTCCCATTCCCATGCACCTCTCGTCCCTATTTAATGGTAATCTTCTTCTCATGCTCTTCCTCCCTCCTCTGTTTTGAGTTGCCCCCCTTATATCAAAGAAGACATTTGGCATTTGTTTTTTAGGGATTGGCTAGCTTCACTTAGCATAATCTTCTCTAATTCCATCCATTTCCCTGCAAATGCCATGATTTTATTGTTTTTTAGTGCTGAGTAATATTCCATTGT